CTAGTCCGGCCCGACAATTGGATCGGCTCTGCACGAAGGGTCCCCTCGACACGTACAAGTTGAAGGGGTCAAAGAAGCCGCCTGACTCTAACCACGCGCAGGGGAACATCAGCCCCTAAAAGGTGTATTTTCAGGGGGGAGGGGGCATGGCGCTTAGTATAGTGCAGTTCAGTAAAGTTCAGTTTGCTTGAAGGAAATGTAGGTGTGTACCTTTGGACTCCCTATTCGTTTAAATGTGTATTGTGATATCAAAACAACTAGTACCTCAGCTTATTGGCGATGCCAAGTGGCTAGAGTCAATGAGGTGGAACAAAGAAAAAAATAACAGACGGGAAAAAAAACTGCCACTCATGTTCGAAATGGGAGGGCATCGCAGAGGTTACGGAGATAATCACCGAAGTGTGAAGATGCTGCGAGTTACTCCCTTGCTGATTGCAGAGTCCACAGACAAAGTGGCGAAAACAGAAGTACCCACAATGATCGTCGACAGTTTATTGCGGGTCGACACAGGGAAGAACGTTTAGGGGCCACGTAGAGTATGGTCGCAAGTTGCGGTGGATGTGATCGCTGATAGGATAGTCGCAGTTCGGATAAGGTCAAATAGGGAAGACCGCGAAGACCGTCGCCCGAGTATGATGATGAAAGACCGTACAGATTTCGAGGTCTTCTATTCACGCAGTTACACCATAATTGAAAACTCAGTTGGCCCAGTATGCATTACTGTATCCATGGATGATCATTTTTAAACACAAGGTAACCCCGCCTATTTTTGATTCAGCATCTGCGAATTCATTAATTGGCGGACTTAGTTTCGTAGACTATACATGAAATATTTCTTAGTTATTTAATCTTGCGACTAAATGCATTTTAAGGTATAAAGTGATATGCTAATTTAAGGTATTAATTTGGAATGTGCCTGCCTGAAGTTGGGAGTAGAGTGATTGATTTTCACCTGAGTAAGGGTATCAATTTTAGGTGTGTTCACGTTTAATTTGAATGACTACCTAGACAGGACATGGGAACAGGAGCCGCCCACAATACACATGTGGCTTTGCGCCAAATTCCGAGGAAAATAGGTTAGGGATTAAGGCCGGTATTAGGGTTAATATTCAATTTAGTGTGAGTTTTAAGGTTAGGGTTTAGGTCGGGATAACGCTAAGCGTCAAGGTTTTTGTAAGTGTCAACTGTAGCGTTCAGGGTTACGGTGGGACTTGGATTATGACTGAGTTTATAGTTTACTGTTAGAGTTAGCGTTAGGGAGTCTTTCGCCTTCCTGACACGGTCACATATTTTCAGTGGGCGTTCCTGTTCCTGTATTCCGTTAGTGCGACCATAGAAGTCATCCAAACCCAATCGTTTTGTGGGTAATTTTATGATATGATTTTGGAATAATATTAAATATCTTTTAAATGATAGCGTCTGAACATTAAAACAGGCAGTTATAATAATTTTCAGAAACATCTTAAGTATTCATGGGCAACTATGGTCCCTAAGCCCCGTTAATACAACATTCATACTTCCATATTAAAGGTAACTCTTTGACAAAGGTGGGACTAATACCGAAGCCTGCAGCTACTTTTCACTCATGGAGAGGAATTAGCTCTTCCCCATAAAGTCTGCCATGAGCTTTGTCTAAACCTTTATAAAATCAACCATACAGCACGTCTGAAAATGCAGATACTATTGTCGTGTTGAAAAACCAATGTGAATATGAATATGTTAAATACGACTATCCAAAATATTTATCCGTCATCTGCTTACGGTTACTGTCAAATAATCATGCTCTATCTTCATATCTGCCTTATATTAATAAAATTTGCACCATCCTCTGGTACTTGTTGGCCTATGAGTTTGAAACCGCAGATATGTTGATAAACCTTCTCTCACCTAGTTCCTAACATACGTCGTTAGCTTTTAACTGAAAACCTCGGCGACCTCGTAATCCAGGGGGCTAGAGTTTTGGCAGTACTTATGGCTTTAATTTATTGCCATAATTCCGCATACCACCGAGGCAGTCGCCTTTTTTCACACAGTTTGATTAAGTTTGTCTACTCTGCCAAAACACATGGTTAGTTTGCCATCTCCTCCAATGAAAAACAACTATACAAAAAAGTCGCTCGTGCTTCAGTGATTCCATAAATCACCGCCCCAGGTGTAGCTTGCATTAAAGGAATGGTTCCCAACCCCCGCATCAAACCCGTCAACAAAGTGCTTGTCATTCTGATATTCGATTGAATTATAAATTCTGAAGTGTGCTCTCGGTTATGAAGAACTGAAATATTGATTCACATACAGCATCCTTATTCAAGCTCAAAAGTTTACTATAACCTTAAACATCAACTTAATCTAGGGCTAACCTCAATTCTAATTGTAAATTCAAACCTAACCCTAATCTTAACTCCAACGCTAGCTTTTGCCCTGACCTTAAGAATAACATGAAACTTAGCGCAAACCTACTGCATCTTATCAAAGTTCAAATCAAAAATTAAACCAAACTTTTCTTTTGGTTTTAAATGTACTTGAATATCCTAGCATTCTTCTGGAAAACGCATGAACATAAAGAAACTATTTGTTTTTTCAACTTTTTAATTTCCTTGGAAGTTCATTTTTGTGCTCGGTACAGACCAGTTCAGATCAGTCACGCCACATAATTCAGTTCACTGCTTGGAGCCAGTTTTGGAGAAATCGATCAAGAAAATTCACGAAATGAAAAACAAAAGACTTGAGAACAATGCTATTTTAAGTATGGTTTCTGCATGCGTGTATTTTAGGCAAAATAACTCATAATCACGTATTTGTGAGGGTAAACGAGCCAGACCACATTCAAGAGGCGCCATCTCGTAAACCATATGCGTCAAGACCGCAGTTTATCAACTTAAGTCACAAGGATGACTCCCAATGGTAGGGAGTTTATAATTTTGTTTCAAGAGACAGCAATTAAAAGAGTTACATAACGGACGTAGTCAAGTCTGTGTAACCTGAAAATAGAAGCCACAGTGACGCCAGCCTCATGACGATCAGCCCCCTAAGATAAACAGCCATCAGTTGACGCTCATGAGATTGCGATCTGTTCAATGACAAGAACGTGCGTGCGCCTTTTCGAGGAACGCACGCGTTTACCCTTGTGGTCTCAGGATGACCTTCAAATAAGCGTGTGAATCGTTAAGACAGGGGGGAGGGGTGCCTTCTGATACGCGCGGCATCTTCACACGACTTTGACGCCTTCCGCAGGCCCCTCCCTTGAAAATGCAGCATCTAGTGCTGAGCTTTGTTTATCGTTGTCTGCTTTCATACTTAAGATTTTTCGCTTTCCTCTTCTTTACCACCTTTCGAGATCACTTTGGAGAGTGCAGCCTATCATGAAACCCAAACCAGCAGGGTGTGTGTGAATCGTCCACTTAAATATGGTACACAAAGCTATGGCTTTGGGTGGACAGTAATTACGCATAACTTTGACACAATAAGTTCAGGGTTAGGAAGAGCGGTTGATTTAAAACTTACACGTACTTAACGTCCAATCAATTGGTTTACGCTGTTGGAATGACATGAGCACATTTGATGTGAATCGAGCTTGGAGATGAGATGCCCTTTCTCCACAACTGCCGAATCCCCTCCGGCAATATTAGTCATGACGTTTTTTCAACCTGTTCTCAACGCCGGCACCTTTAACGATCCTTCACTGCAGTTGCTCAAAGGACTGCATTTCTCAGCTGTTGGTTTTTAGCAGGCATGTTGGCATCATCTCCCCAATGTATACGAACCATCTCTTTGCTGTGGCCCGTCATTTTTGTATATTTGAATATTAGTAAAGGTACTTAATTCCCATCCGTCTAATTTTTCTTCAACATTGTCCCCTGGATGAGTAAAATGACATGCTTAGCAACGCTCTTCAGTTTGTTCCAACTCAGGAGTTATTCCCAGTGCTTCAGGTTACTCAAGGTGGTTTAAGCCCCCATTTCTTCGCCGCTACCTGTTGCTTAATTTTCGTTTCAATTATATTATTCGTGAGCATGACTTTTGAGAAGGACTGCATTAATATAAGTAAGAAGATATCGAAGTGTCAATCCCTGTTATCGCCTCTTGCCGCATAACATGAAACAGAGGGACTGGAGACTGATTAAGCTGGGCATATGGTCACAGTTCAACACGATATATCCTCTTTCTAGCCGGCATTCTGCACCAGAGGAGGGGGTTCTTATTTCTCGACTGTGGTAGACCTACAGTCATCGATGCAGCCAACCCATCTGCAAACTATTTCGGTGTTCTCCTATCCAAATCCGCAAGCGCCCGCTTTAACGTCATTACCGACAATGCGCCCTACAATATGGTGGGCGCAGATGAATTTGTTCACAGCGTTGGTAAACTTGCGAGGCATCTACCGTAGTCTTTCCTCTTCACTCATCTGGATACGGTATCATGACCAAGTCAAGAAGACTGGGAATCGGATTGGACGTCGATGGCTGGCGCAGCGGGGACACGTACCTAGGCGTGCCACCACATACTCCCCGCCTATATGCGGCATTTTCTCTAGGGTTGTGCACCCACAATAAAGCCTGCCGTTCCCTGATCTAGCCCCCGTGTTGGTTCAGCGCATCTACTGCTTAATATCTACAAGCACACGTAAATTCACCCTTAAGAGTATAAATGACTTGCATTAACAGGATATTGTCAGTCGTCTCCTTTGGAATAAACCTTCACAATCGAGGCATACGAGACTAAGTGCATCGCAGGGGCTTTCAGTGGCACAGCGTACCCTTTGAGTGTTTGGGTTTAATGTATTGAGCGGATAAGAAGGCCGCTGCGCACACCACAAGAGGCTCTTGTAAATTCGATTTAAAGACGATGTGTGGGTTGAAGCCTGGGCCTCCAAAAAATAAGACTGCAACTGGCATATCCATCTACCTCCCGTCTATCACCCGTTCCGCTCTCACTGTCAGTAACTAGTTCGTTACTCTTCCCTTGCTAAGTCGGATGCAATACTGCCACAGCATTTCTAGAGTTCACACGAATGCGTCGGCGGTTGAGACCGTCAGTCCTCCTCCTCCTCCTTCAGCATCATCATCATCATCATCATCATCATCATCATCATCAACCTCAGTATTATCATAAATATAATCAACACCACCATCATCATCATCATCCTCACCATCATCATCCTCAGCATCATCATCATCATCATCATCATCATCATCATCATCATCATCATCATCATTCTTCTTCCTCTTCTTCCTCTTATTCTCCTTTGACTACCCCTGTTCTCCTTTCCATAATGGCCTGGGAACTCCCGTTTTCGTTTCCATTCGATTAAAGAAGGAGAATTAGCGTTGAAAGAGAACTTACGAACTGAGAACCGAAGCTTTTAAGCTTATTCATTCGTGCAGGCCACTGACCCTCTGGTCCGCCACAGCCACACCTGTCAGCTATACAAGAATGATAGATATTTAAAAGAAGATTCAAGCACTGGGCCAACCCTTTTATTCGCCTGACGTTTCGACATCCTTCCTGGATTCTTCATCAGGAACATGAGCAGAAAACAGGAGCAGAAGCGGGTAACACATACACAGGAAGGTGCAATATTTATAGGATATAGTCATTACTGTCCTGTCCTATGAACACTGCAAATTCCTGTGCATGTGTTACCCGCTTCTGCTTCTGCTTTCTGCTCATGTTCCTGATGAAGAATCCACGACGGATTTCGAAACTTCAGGCAAAGAAAAATGTTGTTTCAGCGATCGAATCTTATTCTTCTTAATTATTTCTGGAACTCTTCTGTTTGCTTGCATTGGCAATGATCGATATTCCTTTCCTGTTAACCAGCGAATCACTTGGTTAATGCAGCCTGCTGCTGTGCGTCTTCGCAACTGAGGAACTCAGTACTGTCCGCACACTGAAGTTACTGAAACGGTGAAATCGAAACATCGGCCTCTTATGGCTCAATGCAATACCTTGGCGCCTGATTGTTTCCGCTTCGCAATGTTCAAAACCGCCCGAGTTGATAATCATGCTCGTCCAAAGTGATCATGAAGACAACACTGCATACAGCTTTTCCCTTAAATCTTTCAAGTCAATTTAAATAAAATATTCCGAAAAAAACTGCACATCTTTCGACCACTTCGTTGAACAGGAGCTTATTTTGGAATAAATAATTTCAGCTTAGCTTTCCCGGGATGACAGCAAATTCCTGCATAAATACTGTCCCTCCTTTTGCCCTGGATACTGCCATACCCAATGGACGACGAAACTGGCGAAGTTACCAACCGCATCGCAAACTAAGTGAACCAGTTTTACATATGGAGTACTTTTTTTCGGGACGGGCGCGGCTAATGTCAAAAAGTACAATAGATTGCATATCTGATGCAAGGTTGGGGATAGGAGGATTTAACGCACATTT